TGTGCCTGAGCTTCTGAGGTGCTTCAGAGAACGCCTGAGCTGGTGGCTGGTGTAGCTGCTGCCGCTGTTGATATTGCTGCAGATGCTGCTGATGTTGCTCCCCCTGAAGCTGCTGCTGCTGCTGCTGCTGCTGCTGCTGCTGCTCTTGTTGTTGCTGCTGCTGCTGCTGCGGCTGCTGTTGTTGTTGCTGGTGCTGTTGTTTCTGCTGTTGGTTATGCTGTTGCTGCTGTAGCTGTTGCTGCTGTTGCTGGTGTTCTTGCAGCTGCTGCTGCTGCTGTTGCTGCTGTTGCTGGTGCTTCGGCTCTTGCAGCCGAACCGTGCGTACCTCACCTACAGCATCACCAGCAGCAGCAGCACGAGCAGCCGTAGCCACGCCCCTTTCCAATGCAGCATCAGACGCCACACCTCCTTGCACCTGACCCACATCGCCATGCATCTGAATAACAACATCCAGCCCATCTCGGGTATGAAGGGCGTCAGGGCCTTCCTGGATGGTGGGCAGCGGGCTGATAGACATGGGGGAGGTGAAGGAGCTCGGGGAGAAGAGGAAGAAGGAGGGAGACCGGCTCGTGCTCTCAAGCACCGCAAGCCTGCCGTCACCGCCGCCGCCGCCGCTGCTGCTGCCGCCACTGCTGCTCCCGCCTTGCGCAGTCATTTGACCCGTGCTACCTTTGCTTGTTGCTGCTGCTGCTGCTGTTGCTGCTGCTGCGTTGGCTGCTACGTTCCCCCTTGCTGATGCTCCCTCGATTGCTGTTGCGCCGTCCGTTACTGACTCCAGCTTCCCCTTACCTTCTGATCTCCAGCTGTGTTCACTGAGCACTTCATTCCCCCCAGCGCCATTCCCAGCACCGTTCCCTGCAGCACCTTCATTGGTCGTATTTTCTGCATTTTCTGCAGACACAGCAGCGGCAGCAGTAACACAAGCAGCAGCAGTAGCAGCATCAATAGCAGCAGTCGCGGCATCAGTAGCAGGTGCTGAAACTACAGCGCCATCAGCAGGGACAGCAGCAGAAGAAGCACAGGCATCGCCATTGCCAGCAGCAGCAGCAGCAGCACCACCACCACCGCCACCACCAGCATCACTTTTACTACCAGCACCATCAGCACCACCACCAGCAGAACCACCAGCAACAGCAGCACCTGTAGCACAACCACCACTAGTAGCACCGCCACTAGCAGCAGCCTCCCCACTCTCAGCAGCAGCAGCATGGCCCCCTTTCTGCTCCCTCTGCCGTCGCAGCCGCTCCATGCGCTTGAGGTGCAGGTTCCAAAAGTTCTTCACATCGTTGTCCGTCCGCCCTGGCAGGTGCCTCGCGATCTGCGCCCACTTGTTGCCCAGGGTTTCCTGGTGGGGACAGCGCAAGCATGGGGAGAAGGCAGAGTGCGAGGGAGGGGCACGTGTGAAGAGAAAGGAGGAACAGCTCTGGCCGTGTGTGTCCCTCCGCCCTGGCAGGTGCCTCGCGATCTGCGCCCACTTGTTGCCCAGAGTCTCCTGATGGGGGTAGCGCAAGCAAGGGGAGAAGGCAGAGAGAAATTTAGAGCACCAGCAGCAGCAGCAGCACCGCCACTAGCAGCAGCGTCTCCTGGTGGGGAAAGGCAGGGGAGGAGGCAGAGTGCGAGGGAGGGGCGGGTGTGAGAAGGGAAAGGAGGAACAAATCTGGCCGTGTGTGCCTCTCCGCCCCGGCAGGTGCCTCGCGATCTGCACCCACTTGTTGCCCAGCGACTCCGGAAGGAGGAGAGGAGGGGGAGTGCGAGAACGGAGGGGGAGTGCGAGGGAGAAGTGGGCGTGAGAAGGGGAAATGCCTCTGGGCGTCCGTTCGCCCCGGCGGCATGAGGTGACTTCTGAGTCGACTCAAAAGGTGACTTTTGACTTTTGAGTTGACTCAAAAGTTCGCCCCGGCGGCAGGTGCCTCGTGATCTGCGCTCACTCCTCTGGGCGTCTCTGGGCGTCCGTCCGCCCCAGTGCCTCCTGGTGGGGGTAGGCGATGGGAGAAGGGGGAGCGGAGACGGTGGAGAAGGCGTGTGAAGGGAAAAGCAAGAGAAGGAAGGAGGCATGTTGTGGGCGTCATTCAGCTGGGCAGGCAGGTGTGTGATAGAGAGCGAAAGAGCAGTAGAGTATCATCACATGCAGAGCGAGGACCGGGTTACATTCCTGCTCTGTGAACCGCTTGCAGCCTATCTTACAAATAGGTGTGGCACTTACGCAGGGTAGTGCCTCACAAGTGCATTAGGGTAGTGCATCACAAGTGCATTAACTGTAGGGCAGTGCCTCACAAGTGCGTTAACTGTAGGGCAGTGCCTCACAAGTGCATTAACTGTAGGGCGAGTACGATGTTGGACTCCTGCTCTGTGAACCGCTTGCAGCCCAACTCATCATATATGCGCGTCCATATGTGGTGAGACGGACTGCACTGCACGCCCAGCATATGAACGCCGACTCACATCACAAGTGCATTACCTGTAGGGCGAGTACGATGTTGGACTCCTGCTCCGTGAACCGCTTGCAGCCCTTGCCACCGTACCTCTGCAAACAAAGGGCGGAAGGGGCACGAAGAATTGGGTGGAAAAAGAACACTGCAAGAATTGGAAAAACATTGTCTTGCCATGCCTGCAGCTTCTCACATAACCACCGTCCGCTTGCAACGGTGCCATGTCTGCACTATAATCAACTCTTCAGCATCCAGGTGATGTTGGGGAGTAGCTCGAGCGAGGGGTCTATCATTGACCAAGACCACCACCGTGCTTGTTATGACCAAGTGAGGAAGATGATTCAGAGGGGGAGTTTTTTCTTGAGTTGCTCCCAAGCTGCCTATCTGGCTGCGTTGCATCTCTGTGTGAGGGATGTCAGCATATTTGAGGCCGAAAAGCTTTTGTAAGTTTTCTTTTGGCATTTGAAATAAATTAACAAAAGCTATTAGGCCTCAAATTAGCTGCCATCCTCCACACAGAGCTGCAAAGCAGCCAGATAGGCAGCATGGGGGCGACTCAAGAAAAAACTCCCCCTCTGAATCATCTTTCTCACTTGGTCATAACAAGCACAGTGGTGGTCTAGGTCAATGACAGACCCCTTGCTTGAAGACCTGGTTCGACTCATCCGTACCTGCAGGCCCGGCTTCAGCTGGTTCACCCATCGCAGCCTGCAACTTTTCCCAGAGCGTCTCAGCAGACCTCTGGTTACCAGGTTACCCCAGTTCTTGGCCCCGTAACACTCCACATACTCCATTAGCACCCGATCCTCCTCTGGTAACCACGTGCCCTTCGATAGACCCTCCTCGTTTACAATCACACCGAAACCGCCCATGCCCCCTCCACCCTCCCCTCCCTCCTGCTGCGCTGCCCTCTGTCTGTCCCCCTGCCCCTGCTGTGTCTGCTGCTGCTCCATTTGCTGCTGCTGTGGCTGTTGGGAGTGCCGATCCAGCAGCTGCTGCTGCTGCTGGGAGGACGCTAAAACTCGTTGCAATTCCTCCACTGCTGCTGCCAGGTTCGGAGGCAGCTCACCTCCACTCAGACTCAAAACCCCCGGCACCGATGCCTCTGCTGCTGACACCACTCCTGCTGCTGCTGTGTTGGAAGGCAAATCACCTGAACTGAGTCCCACAACCCCTGGCGCTGCTGCTGACACCACTGCTCCTGCTGTTGCTGCTGCTGCGGCTGCTGCTGTGTTAGGTGGCAGGTCACCGGCACTGAGACTCATAGCCTCTGGAGGCAATGCCACTGCCGAGACTATTATGCTACGGATCGGGTTTTGAGATGCCTCAAAACTCGGAGGCGATGCCACTGCTGGGGATACTGTGCTACGGATTGGGCTCTTCCACTCCATCGCATCTGCTGCTGCTCGCGTGAGTTGCCCGGTGGACGCTGAGCTTCCACCGGTATAAATAACACCAGCTGTTGGCAGTGCTTCTGCTGCCGATGCTGGCTTTGCAACAACTGTTGCTGTTGCTGCTGTCAGTCCTGCCATAGCTCCTCCTGTCCCTGGTTCTCCACTTGCTTCTGATCCCAATCCCCCTTCTCCTCCTCCTGCATTGCTCACTGCATGCACTGGTATAACCTGCTTCTGTAACTGTGGCTGCACCTGTTGTTGTAACTGTGGCTGCACCTGTTGTTGTAACTGTGGCTGTGACTGTGGCTGTGACTGTGGCTGTGGCTGCAGCTGTAGCCGTTGCTGCAAGGATGCTTGAAGTGGAGTGCTCAACCCTCCCGCCAACAGCAATCGCTGCAGATCTGCTAGTGTCTGCGGTGCTTGCACCTGCTGCTGTGACGCCTGTAGCTGTGCCTGCAGCTGTACCTGCTGCTGTGACGGCTGTAGCTGTGCCTGCAGCTGCACCTGCTGCTGTGACGGCTGTAGCTGAACCTGCTGCTCCATGTGATGCTGTGACGGCTGTAGCTGGACTGCTTGCTGTAGCGTTACCCTTTGCCCCTGGCCCAGCCCTTGCCCCTGCCCCTGCCCCTGCCCCTGCCCCTGTGCATGCACACGTTTCTGCTGCACCAGCATCTCTTTCTGCAGATGCATTAGCAGCAGCGCCTGCAGCTCTCTCTGCTGCAGCTGTTGCAGCTGCTGGAGAAACACCTCGCCTTGCTCCTGTTGCTGCTGCTCTTGTTGCTGCTTCTCTTGTTGCTGCTGCTGCTCTTGTTGCTGCTGCTCCTGCTGCTGTTGCTCCTGTTGCTCCTGCCGCTGCTGTTGCTGTTGTCGTTGTTGCTGTTGCTGCTGCTGAAACTGATGCTGCTGTTGTTGCTGCTGTTGCTGCCGCACCTGCTGCTGTTGTTGCTGTTGTTGCTCCTGCTGCAGATGCTGCTGAAAGTGCTGCTGCTGCTGAAACTGCTGTTGTTGCTGCTGCTGCTGCTGCTGCTGCTGCTGTTGCTGCTGCACCATCGATTGCTGTTCCAGCAGCCGTTTCCTCTCCACCAGCTGCGCTCTCAGCCGCTCCACTCGCCCCAGCAGTGCAGCAGCCGAGTCTAAATCCAAAACCTGCTTCTGCGGGCTTGACCTCTCACGTACCTCAAACGCAGAAGCATTCTGTAGATTCTCAGAAGGGGCATGAAGAGAAGATGTATGGGGCACAGACGAAGAGTCCAGGTTCAGAAGCCGCTCTAGAGCCTCTAGTGATTGCACCTCCGCTGCCACAGATGCTTCTGCCGCCGCTGCTGCTGGTGCTGATGGGACGACTCCTGCTAATGCCCCAACTGCCATTTCGCCTCCGCGAAACGCACCCAAGGAACGCATGCCTTCCGCTGCCGCTTCTGTTGCCACTGCTGTTGTTGGCACTTGCATAGCAGCTGCTGGCAATAAGGCTGCTGGCATCGCTGCTGTTGGCATCGCTCCCCCGGTTGCTCCTCCCCCAGTATACAGACTCAGTGGACGCATGCCTTCCGCTGCCGCTTCTGTTGCCGCTGCAGCTGCTGGCAACGCTGCTGCTGGCATCGCTCCAGCGGCTGCTCCTACCCCAGCATACATACTCAGTGGACGCATGCCTTCCGCAGATGAGGATCTAACAGCGGCCATAGACGCCCCTGCCCCCATGCCCATGCCAAGCCTGCTCACAGACCGACCTTCTGCTCCTGCTACATAACCTACTCCTGTTCCTCCTGCTCCTCCTGCTCCTGCTGCATAACCTACTCCTGCTCCCCCTGCTCCTCTTCCACCCCCTCCTGTTCCTAATGCTCCTCCTACACCCGCTCCTGCTCCTCCCGCTCCTCTTCCACCCCCTCCTGTTCCTAATGCTCCTCCTACACCCGCTCCTGCTCCTCCTCCTGTGAGTTGCAGTGGTGGCTGGGACGAGAGGGATGGGCTGCTGACTTGGGGAAGGGAGGTGCACGCAGCGAGATCAAGATAGTCTGCTGCAGACACGGACATGGGGCTAGGTTGTGACTGTAACGCTGCCACGGACATGGGGCTAGGTTGTGACTGTAGCGAGCGCTGAGGCGCGTCAAACGTTGCTGCCACCGACATGGGGCTGGGCTGTGACTGTAACGAGAGAGACATGTTGTTGCCGGACATGGGGCTGGGTTGTGACTGTAACGAGAGGGACGTGTTACCTATGCTCATTTGCACCGCACTGCCGCTCATTTGCACCGCATTGCCGCCTCTAGTGCCGCTGCTCGTGCCGGAAGGGGTTCTGTAAACAGTGCGGGCGGCAAAATTTGTCAGATTCGCTGCTGCTGTTGTGCTGGTGCCTGGGAAAGGTAGGCACAGCGAATCCAATGTACTGCCTAATTGCCCCTGCTGCTGTTGCTGCTGCTGTTGCTGCCGCTGTTGCTGCTGCTGTTGCTGATGCTGCCGCTGATGCTGCTGCTGCTGCTGCTGCTGCTGCTGCTGCTGCTGCTGCTGCTGCTGCTGCTGCTGCTGCTGCTGCTGCTGCTGCTGCTGCTGCTGCTGCTGCTGCTGCTGCTGCTGCTGCTGCTGCTGCTGTTGCTGCTGTTGCTGCTGTTGCTGCTGCTGCTGCTGCTGCTGCTGCTGCTGCTGCTGCTGCTGCTGCTGCTGCTGCTGCTGCTGCTGCTGCTGCTGCTGCTGCTGCTGCTGCTGCTGCTGCTGCTGCTGCTGCTGTTGCTGCTGTTGCTGCTGTTGCTGCTGCTGCTGCTGCTGCTGCTGCTGCTGCTGCTGCTGCTGCTGCTGCTGCTGCTGCTGCTGCTGCTGCTGCTGCTGCTGCTGCTGCTGCTGCTGCTGCTGCTGCTGCTGCTGCTGCTGCTGCTGCTGCTGCTGCTGAGCTAAAAGATACTGGCTGAGAAGCAACTCCGCAATGGGGCGCGGAGGAGCCACCTGAGGATTCACCTGACCAAGTAACGCCTGTGCACCTGGCTGAATCGTTTGGAAAGTTCTACCAATATTTCCAGAGGAAAGACCTACCTGACCTAGGGTCCATGTGCCACATTGAGTATCGCCACTACCCATAGACCTGTCCCCGTTACTACCACCAGGTATGCTTATAACGGAACCGCGATTGCTTGTAACGAGTGCATTGGCCGTCTCAGGCCCTATGTTTCCCCAGCTAGCCGTCAGATGCGCCCCGATCTGCTGAGCCGCCGGCCATACCGCCGCCGGCGGGCGCGGCGGCGGAACTGACGGCGCGGAATGCGGCGCTGCGCGTGCCGCCGCCGGCACCGGAAGCGAACCACCTGCGGAGCCCAGAATTTGCCCCGCCCCGCTTACGCCACTGCTGCGGAAACCGCCGTTCGTTCCGCCGCTAACACCGCCGCCAATGCCACCGCCAGTACCGCCGCGACCAGCTTGCGCCATTCCCCCGAGCCGCGGCGCCGCTAGATCCGGATTAAGGAGCGCGAAGATGCTAGTAGCGCTGGCCAGATCTAAGGAGGGCGTGATGCTAGCAGGAGAAGGGGAATGGGTCGGCGGGGGAACGAGCCCCGCCGCTGACGTCATCATGGAGCGTAAGATGCTCTGCGGAATCTGCTGATTGTTCCCCGCGTTACCCGCGGAGCCTGCGGCGCCCGCACGCCCCTGGTTTCGCGCAACCATAGCGAGAAGGCTTTTAGCGAGTACTACGCGATTCTCTCGTATGTGTTACCAGTCGAGTCGGCAGGTGCGACGAGGGGACTCTATCGCAGTTGATCGCGAGTGACGGGTCGCGAATGACGCCGAGCCTGTCAAAGTTGAAGTTGTGATTTGATCGCACGAGCATTGCGACGCTTGCGACGACAAGGGAGGCAGCAGCGGCACAGGGTTGAAGGTTAAACTCAGCCGTCGTTAGCTCGTTGCTCCTCCTGGTACTGCATTCGTCATCGTTATGCACTCAACCTAACGACCAACTCCAAGGAACCACCACGAGGAAATGACAGAGCGCCATGTTTTCAAATTTCCAATTCCAATGGGCAGTGGTTTTGACAGCGCATTGCTCTGCGCTCGCGTCCAATACCTTGGGGCATATTCTCTCTCAGTTTCCCCTTTTAAGTCCACAAATACAAGTTGTTTTTAGGTTACGGGGTATTGAAAATGTATTGGTCGAGTCCATGGCAAACGCTCAGCTCGGGACAAAAAAAATATAACCCTCATGGATGGTATGCCACGAAGAGAGCATCAACCCTAAACACCATGAGGCAAGGTGTTCAGGGTTGATTCCTCCCAAATGGCTTGTCATCAGAGTGGGTTTTAGTTTTTCCACTGGTCTCTATACTGAGCCCAGGTAGCCTTAATATTTGCCCTTCCATACGTTTGGTCATGAAAAACGGGAAACAGCAATATAAACTGACCGCGGGAATTGGGCGTGAACGCGGTGGGAGTCGCTGTCAAAGCCACTGCCGAAAGGAATCGAAAACGCGCAAAGACGGCGGTCCGTCATTTCCTCGACCACCACAAACCAGACGGGTCAAGCTATGGCAACCGCGAGTGGAGTGAGGGAGTCCAGGAGCCTGGGGCTGGGGCTTGAGGAGATTGCGGGGAGAGTCGGGGAGTTACGGGATTACGGTACGGTACAGTGCATACAACAGAGCACAGCCGACAGCCGACAGCTCATGATGAATCATGCGAGCGAGTTTGCCCCCGCCCTACCCTATCTGTCTTGGTTGGCAGTACTGCTTGCGTGTAATTGGTACGTACGAATGGCGGTGAGTTGAGGTGACGAGAGGAGAGGAACTGGTGGATTGCATTTTGTCGCTTCGTGGTTAGATTGGGTTCGGTTCGGTTGCACGTTGCAACGCCATGTTGACATGGTTTTGCAGGATGAATGGAAGGTTACACTTGCGTTCTGTGGTTACCATTCATTGTTTTTGCGAATGGAGATGGAGCGCTGTGAGTTTCCTGGGTGCCACGGCCAGGAGACCGAAATCCCAGAGCATCCACACACAGCCAGTGACGGACGAACAATATTGGAGATCCGCAATCAAACTAACTGTAGATGCACTATAGAAATTTACATGAAATAAGCCATTAGATAAAGAGTAAAGACATTTTGCAAGATAAGCCAGAGGAATAAATTAATGAACCATACTAAGAGTCCATTACAAGGTACATCATGCAGAGCATCATGTGACCAGAATCATAGAGCTAGCACAGCACAAGACCTAAGCAGGTGACGCGTGCCACAAGCTGTGCTCCCTCCATGATTCTCTTCAGCCAGTAGCCACATGATACCCTGCACAGCCTTATGAACCACAAACCATAGACCACCCGGAGAGGCCTGGGAGATCACACAACAAACCGTGAGCCAAAAACCCTACCTACACAAATGTTTTATCTTAAGCCCACAGGTCCATGCTGAAATCAGCAACACCTTCGAACCCTTCCACGTCACCACATGCGGCTGCCAGGTCACAATCTTCCATGACGCCCTGGAACAGGCTCCCCGACAGTTCAGCCTCCGTCAGCGCCAGCTCGACGTCGTGCTGCTCCTCCAGATCCGTCAGAAGCGACTCGATACTGTCACTCTCGCTGCAGGCAATGCTGACTCCACTGGCGCTGCGAACAGGCGCGGAGAGGGCATCAACGGCGGAGATTGAAACCGCGGGAATATCTTCGAACACGCTGTTAGTGGTCAGATCAGACGTAGAAGGCAACTCAGCGGCGCCGTCCGCTGCTGCTACAGCTGCATCCGTAGCAGCTGGTTCCGCCGGTCCAGCCTTCGGGAGCTGAATTGTGATATCCGCGCCAAGAAGAGCTCCGTTAGTAGCAAGCAGCGACTTCTCCAGAACGTCAGCCACGTCGGCCGTATCAAAAGTCTTCGCCGCCTCGCGGCTCGCCTTCAGGAGCGCCTCTGCCGTCGCCGACGGAAGCGGAACGGAATGGGTGTCATCTCCGGGGAAGTTGAGCGCCGCCTGGGATCCGCGCAGCAGACGCGCGGCCACGTCGTAGGCGCGCGCGGCGTCTTCCGCCGAGTCGAACGACCCCAGCCAGATGCGCGTGCGCTTGTTGGGCTCGCGGATCTCCGACACCCACTTGCCCCACTTGCGCTGTCGCACGCCCTTGTATGCGACGGGCCCTGCCGCGACTGCTTTTGCGACAGATTCTGCGACGGCTCCTGCGACGGGAGCTTCAATTTTCGGCGATGTCGACGAGCCGCTTGTCTCCGACTCGCAGTCGGAGCCGCTGGAAGGGACGAGAGAGGGAGGGGATTCAGGGGTTGCGGAGCGCTTGGCGCGCTTTGCCTGCCTCGCACGCGGCGGCGCGGGTCTCGAGGTGGTCGCGAGCGCCGCGGCGCTGCGCTTGGAGCCGGAAACGGCATTTGAGCGCGGAATGGCGACACGTGGGCAGGGGGCGGCGGAGTGCTGGGAGACGGAAGACGACGCGGGAGATGCGCCGGCAGATGCGGGGAGAGGAGTGGCGCACGGGACATGATAGCTGGCTCGGAGTGGCAGCGGCTGATAAAAATGGAACTGCGGCGGCGGGGCAGCGAGTGAATGAAATTGCGACGGCGCCGAGTGGCGACGCTTGACGACGTCGACGACCTGGGCGAGGCCTGCGATGGCTCGCTCCGCTGTCGCCAGCGCGTCGCCCAGCGCCGCATTGGATTTCATGATGCTGACGTCGTGAACGAGGGGATGGGCGAAGGCCGGCCCGTGGAAGGAGGAAACAGCTTGGCTGCCAACGGTTGCCATTGGAGACGTGTGTTTGTCAAATCAAAATCGTGTGAGTTGCCTGCTTGCTCAGCTAAAAGGACATCTAGCAGCCGACTTCGGCGGAGAGATGTCAGTTTAGCAGAGAAGAGGGAAGGCGATGAATAACGGTGGTTCGTCAGTGCAGGTAACGGACGGACGTGGGAACTCACCTACCAAGATGGAGGACTAGAAGCGAAGATTGAAGGTGGAAATGAAGCTCGCGTGGATTTGTACTGTGGGTGGATGCAGGCGACTAGGGATAAGCGCAGCAGAGAGTGACGGGGAGTGACGGGGAAGGGGAGATAAGTGAGTAGTGAAGGGCATGCCGTCGGGCGACGTTTGGCGGAGATGGTTCTCTGTAGAAGGTTTGGTCGGGGGAATGGGGGGAAAGACTAGGTGAATGGGGGCTAGACCCTGGGGGCATGGGGAAGAGAGGTACGGGAACTGGGGCCAAGATCATAGACATGCAACTTAGTATGGTAACCCTGTTCAATGGTATGATGTTGGCCCCGGGAACTGGACTGGCTGGCTGGACTGGAGATTTGGGGAAAGAGAGATGGCGGAAACCAGGTTTTGTTTAAAGAGGCGGAATGGTCGTCCGCCAAGTGACGTAATGTAGTAGGAAGGCTCGCGTTTTCGTGGGGAGAATGGTTGGTTGGTGGTGGCAGGGACAAGGCGGGGTGGTGGGGTGGGAGCGATTGCGAAATTACGCGGGAAATTATGTAAACCTGAAATCCTGCGATTCGAGCTGCTAAGCTTGGCTGACCAGCTTGAAATTGCTGCTGCCCTTGCCACGGCTAGACCGACATTTGGTCCACGGGCAGCTTTGTGTCAGTCCGCAATTGGTTGACTTCAAAGAAATTTTCCTTGGGCAGCAATGCATGCGTTTTCAACAAGCCGCGAAATCAAGGCCCTTGTTCACCACGTGCCACAGTCAACTTATAAGCTGACCGTTTTTCGGTCACGACAACAGGTAAACGACAGATGGAAGAGATTTGCATCCAGATTGCAGGGGGCAAGTATCCCCCGCAAGCTATTGTCTCCGCCCATGCCATCCCATTCGCTGTCGAAAGGCCTAAGTCGTTTCCCGCGTGGCAATCGAACGTGTATCAAGCTTGAAGTTCGCCAAACGTGGTCATTAGCCTTGTACCGAGTATGAAGTCGTGTATCGATGCCCTGGTTAAAATGATTTCAATGTCGTCAACTTCTGTTGAGCCAAACCATGCTTCTTATACTTTCCCTTACTGAATTCTTTCACTGCTGCCCTTTACAACAGCGAGTTACGATTCGCTTTACATCGCGGTAATCCGACCACCCTCCTCCTGCCTCCTTCCACCTGCCTCTGATGAAATATCTTATGGTTGTACAGCTATGTGCCTAGTTTCCTCCATTCAACCATTCTGACACCATGGCGGACTCTTCCGCTGATAAGTGCGTACATCGTCCCCATGGGGGCTTTTTGTGTATTTTTTTTCTCTCGGTTGTCTCGTCCTCGCATTTTTGCGTTCTAACCCTGCTATCTGCGCTTACAGTTTCTTCAACGAGGGATAAGTTCGTATGAACCAAATATGCTTCTCAAACTCTCTTCTTCTTTCCTCGCCCTCCCCACCTTCCCCTCCTCCCCCATTCCCCCCCTCTCTCTCCTCCTTTCGTCTCTTCTTCGATTTCTGACTTTCTATTAACCACCCAGAAAGCGGAGCAAATGGGATCAAGCGGCAGATCCAGCAGCAGCAGCAGCCGCAGCGCTCTCCACCATCCCCTCCGGAACCTCCCCCGCTGCAATCGCCGCCGCAGCCGCCGTCGCGGCGTCGCTAGCAGCAGCGGGAAAACCCGTCCCTACCGGACTTTCTCTCTTGGGAATGCCGATCCCAGGCCTTGCTGGCTCGGCAGCTCCAGGCCCGGCGATGCCGAACCTAGACGACGCTAAGGCTCGGGCGGAGATGATGGCTCGGCAAGTGAACGAGGAGTTAGCGAAGCGCGGGATAGGCGTGCAGCGAAAGCCGGAAACAGCGGCGGCAGGGCCGCCGGGAAAACCGCCGGCAGAGGAGATTGTTAAGGAGGTGGTGATCAACGAGTGTAACCCTAACGTGCGTTACCAGCTCACGCGCCGCGGCACTCAAGACGATGTGAGTAGATTCTCAGGGGATGGTGATCCACGAGTGTAACCCTAACGTGCGTCGGCGGGTCATTTGATGCCTCACTCAGCACGACTTGACACACACCGCAAAACCCTAGGTTGTGCTGTTCGGTCACTCGACGGAGAAAGCGAGCGGGAGGGAGGGCGATGAGAGGAAGCAGGGGTCCCATGACAAGACGCCTGTGTAAGTATCAGAAGCAAGGATGTGTGTCGTCGCTTCGCTTGGCGTCTGTTTTTCTGCATCGTTTTCTTTGTGCCTCGGTGCCCCATCCCATGTCATCCCTTCCCATCCCGTGCCACCCCATCCTATTCCGTGCCACCCCTTCCCATCCCTTGTCAACCCTTCCCTTCCCGTGTCAACCCTTCCCATCCCGTGCCACCCCATCCTATTCCGTGCCGCGTCCCCACATGGCTGTCCCCAACTGCAGATTCACCGCAAGACGGGCGCGGTGATTTCCACTAGGTATGCGCTCTTTTTTTTTTTTTTCCACCTCCGCTTTTGCAACACGTGTTGCAATGCGGTTGGTTGACGCGTCTCAACAGTTCAACGTAAAATCCTTACTTGCGCAAACCGTATCTAGACTTAGTCCTTACGTCTCATGCATGATTTACCTGTGTGCACCCGATATGCATCATGACAAACCACATGCCACCAGCACTGATCGCAACTGTTGTCGGTCCTTGTTCTTGTGTTGCTTTTGAGCCGACTCAAAAGCAGTGTTGCTCTTACCTGCCTTGGTCGTTGTCCTCCCACGCCTCATTTCTTCATATCCCCTTCCCCCATGCCTGCCTTTTGAGACGTCTCAATAGCGTTGCTCTCAGCTTCTCCCCCCGCTGCTGTTCCGCCATGCCTCATCTCCTCATGTGCCCTTCCCCCATGTCCATCGCCCCTCATCGTCCGTTCCGCCTTATCCACCCGCTTGGATGTCCGCTTTACCCCCAGGGGCAAGTTCTGCAACATGAACGATCCGAAGAATCGCGACCGTCCGTTGTATCTGCACGTGTCGCCATCTGCCGAGGTACTCCCGCGTTTCCCTGCCTCCAGTTACTTGCGACGTATCAGTCGTTTTCATTGCCTTGTCTGCGATTTTCTTGACGTCTCAAAACTCTTTCCTCGCCTCGTACCTCTCATTACATTACATCAGTCGATTTCGTGCTGCACTTCCTCCTCTCCTTCTTTCTCCCCCCCCCCCCCCTCCCCCCCTTCCCCCACCTCCTCCTTTCCCCCTTTCCTTCTTTCCCCTTTTCCCCCTTTCAACCTTTCCCCCTTTCCTTCTTTCCCCTTTTCCCCCTTTCAACCTTTCCCCCTTTCCGCCTTTCCCCTTGTGCCGGACTTGTTGTCTCCCGTCTTCCTCTCCCTCTTCACTCCCCTCCCCCATGCCAGGCCAAGACGCCGGAGGAGAAGCAGCGGATGGTGGACGCGGCCGTCCGTATGATCGACGACATCATGAATCTACGGCCAGGAGAGCAGCCCAGGGCTCAGGCGCCCGATCGGGCCGATCCGGGCCGTCCGCCGTGGGGCGGCGAACGGTCGAGATCGTCCCGCGACAGCGTCAGGGCGGGGCGGGGCGGGCGGCACGAGAGGGAGCAGGAGGCGGGCAGGGGGCGGGAAAGGGAGAGATACGATCCGTATGGGCGCAGCGACAGGGGCAGGGACAGAGACAGAGAGAGGGACAGAGATCGGGACCGGTATGGGAGGGACAGGGACAGGGATCGGGAGCGGGACCGAGGAAGAGACAGGGATAGGGACCGCGATCAAGACAGGGACAGGGACAGAGACAGGGAGAGGGACAGGGAAGGGTATGGCGCCCCTCCCCAGTACGCGCCTCCCCCCGGATCCTACCCTCCCGGGTCCTTACCCCCCGGGTCCTACCCGCCTGGTCCCTACCCGCCTGGGTCCTACCCTCCTCAGGGTCAGCCTCCCCCTTATGGTGCTCCCCCCCCCGGGGGATATCCCGCCCCTCCCCCAGGGACCTATGACCCTGCATACGGCCCTCCTCCTCCCCACGGTTACCCAGGCTACCCCCCTCCTGGGGGTGCTCCTGCTCCGTATCCCCCTCAGGGTGCCCCTGGGTATGGCCCTCCCCCGCAGGGTGCACCTGGTGAATACCCCCCGCAGGCACCAGGGCAGTACCCTCCTGGCCAATACCCGCCGCCTGCTTACCCCCCTGCTGGTTACCCTGCTGCCGCCCCGTCCCCATATGCACCTTCCCCGGGTGGCGCCTATGGGGCACCCCCGCCTGGGGCGTATGGGGAGGGGTACGGTGCCCCGTCCGCATCTGCTGGGTCTATCCCTCCGGGCAGCAACATCGTGCTGGTGTTTGCAGGGTTTGAACCGACACGGGATTTTGACGCATCTGGGCGCATCAGGGGACCCAATGTGAGTTGACTTCTGAGTAGGACATGTGAGTTCAATAATGACAGAGTGGGAAGAGCGAGGGCGGATGGCCTGGGGCCGGTAACCAAGTGGAAGGGGAAGGGGACTTCTTCAGGGTTAGACCATACCCCACCATACCCCACCATACCCCCGGTTTTTGAGTTGACTCAAAAATCGACTCATTAGACGCGGGTTTTGAGTCGACTCAAAAATCGACTAATTACACGCAGTTTTTGAGTCGACTCAAAAATCGGGTCAGACCATACCCCACCATACCCCCGGGCATCAACATGGTGCTGGTGTTTGCGGGGTTTGAACCGACCCGGGAGTTTGACACTTGTGGTCGGATCAGAGGCCCCTATGTGAGTTGACTCTGGAGCTTCACGGGGAAGGGGGGGGTGGTTTTGGCTGGTGGGCTGGCATTTTTCTTCCTCCCACCCAAGTGTGCAGGACTCGTATGTGTAACACATTCACACGTCCGTGTGAGTAAGGATTTTAAAGTTATGATATTGCTTTTTCTTTTTCCCTTCATTTTTTTTTCCCTTTTTCTTTCTTTCTTTCTTTCCTTTCCTGCACCACGTGCACAGGACTCGTACCTGGAGCACATTCACACGTCTACAAGCATCAAGGCGACGCTGCATGGGCGGTGCTCCAACAACCACGAGATCAATGGGGAAGGTGAGGGCAGGGACGGCCAAGGTGAGGGCAGGGACGGCCAAGGTGAGGGCAGGGTCGGCCAAGGTGAGGGCAGGGACGGCCAAGGTGAGGGCAGGGACGGCCAAGGTGAGGGCAGGGACGGCCAAGGTGAGGGGGGCCAAGGTGAGGGCAGGGACGGCCAAGGTGAGGGCAGGGACGGCCAAGGTGAGGGCAGGGTCGGCCAAGGTGAGGGCAGGGACGGCCAAGGTGAGGGCAGGGACGGCCAAGGTGAGGGCAGGGTCGGCCAAGGTGAGGGCAGGGACGGCCAAGGTGAGGGCAGGGTCGGCCAAGGTGAGGGCAGGGTCGGCCAAGGTGAGGGCAGGGACGGCCAAGGTGAGGGCAGGGACGGCCAAGGTGAGGGCAGGGACGGCCAAGGTGAGGGCAGGGACGGCCAAGGTGAGGGCAGGGACGGCCAAGGTGAGGGCAGGGTCGGCCAAGGTGAGGGCAGGGTCGGCCAAGGTGAGGGCAGGGACGGCCAAGGTGAGGGCAGGGACGGCCAAGGTGAGGGCAGGGACGGCCAAGGTGAGGGCAGGGACGGCCAAGGTGAGGGCAGGGACGGCCAAGGTGAGGGCAGGGACGGCCAAGGTGAGGGCAGGCGGAAGGTGTGAGGAGGACTTTTGAGGTGTCACAAGCATGGGCGGTGCTCCAACAACCACGAGATCAACGGTGGAGGTGAGGCGCGAACAGGGAAGATCATCAATCAATGGTGAACATGATGAGGGGAGGGCGAGGTGAGGGGAGGGCGAGGTGAGGGGAGGGCGAGGTTGAGGTGAAGGCCGGGTGAGACCAACTATAGTGTGAGGCAAATACTCACGGTGATGGAAGGGGCCAATTTTGCTGCAGGGTTTCTTTGAGAATTCTCAATAGGCCGGGTGAGACCAACTATAAAGTGAGGCAAATACTCACGGTGAGGGAAGGGGCCAATTTTGCTGCAGGGTTTCTTTGAGAATTCTCAATAGGCCGGGTGAGACCAACTATAAAGTGAGGCAAATACTCACGGTGAGGGAAGGGGCCAATTTTGCTGCAGGGTTTTTTTGAGAATTCTCAATAGGCCGGGTGAGACCAACTATAAAGTGAGGCAAATACTCACGGTGAGGGAAGGGGCCAATTTTGCTGCAGGGTTTTTTTGAGAATTCTCAATAGACCGGGCGAGACCAACTATAAAGTGAGGCAAATACTCACGGTGAGGGAAGGGGCCAATTTTGCTGCAGGGTTTTTTTGAGAATTCTCAATAGGCCGGGCGAGACCAACTATAAAGTGAGGCAAATACTCACGGTGAGGGAAGGGGCCAATTTTGCTGCAGGGTTTTTTTGAGAATTCTTAATGGGCCGGGCGAGACCAACTAAAAAGTGAGGCAAATACTCACGGTGAGGGAAGGGGCCAATTTTCTTAAGAGACCCTAAGTCACCCTCACCATTTTCTACTTCCCCCACTCCACTCTCCTTCTCCCTCTCCTCGCCAACCCCACCAGAGCTGAACGCGCCCTTGCACATCTCCCTCATCACCTCTTTTGAGAATTCTCAAAAGTCACCTCTTCTGAGAATTCTCAAAAGTCACCTCTTCTGAGAATTCTTAAAAGTCACCTCTTCTGAGAATTCTTAAAAGTCACCTCTTCTGAGAATTCTTAAAAGTCACCTCTTCTGAGAATTCTTAAAAGGCACATCTCCCTCATCGCCTCTTCTTCCCCCTCCATACTCTCCCTCCCCGTATTGTTCCCACCCCCCTCGTGCGCAGAGCTCAATGCGCCCCTACACATCTCCCTCACGGCCAGTGACGGTGCATCGGCCGCACAGATGGCCGAAGCAAAGAAGCTGGCAGAGAGCCTCATAGACACCATCCGGGACGAGTGGCAGCAGCAGCAGCAGTCAGGGGGCGCAGGGGGCGGAGGCGGAGGGGGAGGAGGCGGAGGGGGTGGGGGAGGGGGTGGTGGAGGGGGAGGGGGGGAGAAGGACGGGGGTGGAGGGGGAGGCGTGAGTGGCCCAGGGTATGCGGCGTATGGGGGGTTGTATTCGCAGGTGGGCATGGGGGGAGGGGGAGGGGCGGGGAGGAGCACATCGGGCAAGGGGAGAAAGTTCCGGGAAGTGACTGACGTGGGAGGGGGAGGAGGGGGTGGTGCTGCTGCTGCTGGTAATACTGCTGGTGGTGGTGCTGGTGGGAGTGGTGGTGGTGGTTCGTCTGGTGGGGGTGGTGGTGGTGCAGGGAATGGTACAGGTGCCCACCAGTCTTCCTATGGCTCGTATGGGGGTAGTTATACCACTTACCAGCCGCAGCAGCAGCAACAGCAACAGCAGCATCAACAGCAACAGCAGCAACAGCAGCAGCATCACCAACAGCAGCAGCAGCAGCAGCAGCAGTACCAGTCGTCTTCCATGCCTCCACCGCAGGCTCGGTCGATCATGGGCCCGCCGCCCCCGAAGCTGCCGACCAGGCTCGGAGGAGGTGGAGGCCAGGCAAATGGGCAAAACGGTAAGCAGAAAGTTTGTCCGACCTCCTAGCGCTACGAATATGAGTATATGTGTGTACATACATAATATGCAAGTATGGTGTCCTTGTCTTAATGGTATTTGTCCCTCTCTACTATCGTCAACTTCTCATTTTGGCCCTTAAGCATCCTCCCTTGCCACAGGCGCAGGTTCGGCTAACATGACTCCAGGTTCGGTGACTGCAGGCTCGGCAGGTGGCTCGGGAGGCATGACTCTGGTGGACTATGGGGAGGAGGAAGATTGAGTTTTCATCAAGCAAGCTAGCAAGGTAGGTACTGCTCCCTCAAGGTTGGCCAAAAGGCATGCGAGAGAAGCACCAAGCTAACAAGATCTGCAGGCTCGGCAGGCGGCCCTGGAGGCATGACTCTGGTGGACTACGGGGAGGAGGAGGAAGAGTGATAGTGCTGCAAGCGAGCAAGCAAGCAAGGTATGTAGGTACTGCCCCTCCAAGGTTGGCCCAATGCCTGCGAGAGAACAGAAGCCACACAATCAAGGTATGGAAACCAGATCTTCTCTTCACCACACAATGCTTGGAAAGGTCCTGCAACCAGCAAGCCATCAACCAGCAAGCCATCAACCAGCAAGTCAAAGGCCTATTTGTAGACCCAACCCAATGTGCCCGAACCCTCGGCAAATCGAGGGTAGCTTCCCATCAAGGATAGGTTCCGCTAATGCACGGCGCATGTGTTTTGGAGCGGCTCAAGAATCAAATGCGGATCATATAGTAATGGCTAAATTTCCTTCCTTTACTCCCGTAAGCAGGAACACGGTGAGCAGCTGGAGAGTAAGTGAGGTTTGAGTTGCCTCAAAATGCTTCTGTGAGGTTTTCCAGAGATGGGAATATCAACTGATTCCTTCCTTCTGGATTTCAAGCCACTCCAGAAGCTTGTTGTGAAGCTGGGCATTCAACACTCGCTTACGGTAGATAGCTGGCAACTGTTTTTTCCACCTGAATTTGTTGCCACCCTTTCCCGCAGACCCTTTCCACCTGGACTTGTTATAAACCGAGATTGCAAACCAAGTTGGGGTCGCAGGAGGGCGTTTGATCGATACCACTTTGGTTGCTGACAACCTGCCTTTTCTCCTGCATTTGTGTTTCTCCCCCTTTCCCTATTTTTCCCCCCTTTCTGTGTGCTGCCTGTGTTTTCTTCCTCTTGTCTCCTGTGTTTTTTTCATGTGTTTCTCCATTTCTGCCCGTTGCTCGCATGCTTGTGTTTCTCCCCTTCTCCAGCATTTGCATACCTCGGTAGTAGCGTACCCTGCTTGAGTGCAGTTTCGTTGTACAGATCGAGTAACAGATGGATGGTTTTTGTCAGCACAGCTGAAGGCGTAAGATGAAGCACTGAAGGCAGGAGGGCAGGCATGGGCACGCCAGGCTGCTGCGCTTGTTTGCTTCTCTTTTCGCAGTGCCACTTTTCAGGATACAAGCTGCAGCTTCGTTTTCGTCCCCTTCCATACAAGGCCACCTCTCATTTTCTGCATCTTCCCTGTTCCCTCTTCAGTTGTGTGTCTGATGCTTGACCCCCCCTTCGATGCCTTGCCCCATTCCTGTATTCCTGCTTCCTCTGCTTTGGCTTCCGTGATTTTGTTTGTGCCATTTGAGTAGTAGACCATTCAGAGTACAAACACGTTCTTGATTGGTGATTTGGACTTCACGGTGTCAAACTATGTGTGTTAGTTCTGTCTAGGCTATAGTGGGGTAGCCCATATGGGGGTAAAATCCGAAGTTAGGGTTAGTACTTGTACCCACATTTCATTCAATGCAACCATTCCTGCTAGCTATCTTGACATGGTTTCAGAGCAGTAGGTCCGTAGGACCGTTTTTTTTTTCGGGCCCATCATGCTTAGCTTCCGATTGTGGTTACCGTGTTACCCCACTACCCTGCGTCGCGCTGCCCCGCGCATGCCCTGCCTTGCCCCGCGTCGCGCTGCCTCGCGCTCGCCCTGCCCTGCTCTGCTTGGCGTCACCCTGCGCCAGCGCCCTGCCCTGCGCCGGCGCCCTGCCCTGCGCCGGCGACCTGCCCTGTGCCGGTGCCCTGCCCTGCGCCGGCGACCTGCCCTGCGCCGGTGCCCTGCCCTGCGCCGGCGCCTTGCCCTGCGCCGGCCCCCTGCCATGCGCCAGCGCCCTGCCCTGCGCCAACGACCTGCCCTCCGCCAGCGCCCTGCCCTGCCCAGCGCCTGCGCCCTGCCCTACGCCCGCGATGCGGCCCTGCGCGTCGCGCCCTACGGCAGCCCGCGCATTGCGCGCTGCTGCTCCGCGCGTCGCGCTCTGCTGCAGCCTGCGCGTCGCGCTCTAAGGCAGCCCACGAGTCGCGCGCTGCTGCTTCGCGCGTCGCGCTTTGCTGCAGCCCGCGCGTCGCGCCCTAAGGCTGCCCGTCACGTCGCGCTCTGCTGCCCCTCGCGTCACGCACTGCTGCAGCCTGCGCCAGCGCCCTGCCCTGCACCAGCGCCCTGCCCTGCACCCGTGCCCTGACTTGCGCCAGCGCCCTGCCTTGCGCTAGCGCCTTGCTAAACCCTAAACAAAATTCAAATTAAAATAATAATAACAAAAAAAGGGGCTGGGTGCTTTTGCCCTAGGAGCTACTACCAGCTGCTGCCTGCTACTGCCCTGCTATGGCCGCGCGCCGCTCTGCTCTGGCCGCGCGCCGCCCTGCTGCTCTTACTGTTGCTGCTGCTACTCGTGCTACTGCCTTCACTCCGTACTGCCCTAGAGGACGCTCTCCTCCTAGCTTGCCCGCCATGACTTCCCTTTGTCGTACCGGTGGGAGTGGTGACGGCGGTGGTGGCAGCAATGGGAGTGGTGGCGGCCGTAGTAGCAATCACTGTGGCGCTGTTTGGTGCGAAGTGTCTGGCGGTGGTCAGGTGCAGCTACGGCGGCGTCCGACCCTTACGCCCTGGCAGCTTCGTGAGTGGCTTTACCAGCATGGGCCATCTCCGAGTCCGGGTCGCTGCCCGTACGTCATTCGCACGGGTCGTCGAGCTGGTGAGACCTGTGGGACAACCGGTCACGCATAGTCCCGCTGCTTCGCCTATTTGACTGACGCCTAGCGCACAGACTTTGGCAACGAGGCTGAGATAACCCCCTGGCTTGAGCTGCTTAAGTCGGGTGTTGCTGAATTTGCTTTAGACTATGACGCCGTTCTTAGTGCCATATCTGCTTTGCCTGATGGTGCTGAGAGTGACTGTCACCTGTGTGTACAGTACGACCCCGGTATAGAGGTTGTTGCTCTAGGTGCTAGTGAGGCTGCTGCCTTAGGTGCTAGCGAGTCCGCTTCCTCAAGTACTGCGCCTGCTGAGGCCTTGCACACCTTCACGCTTGACTCAGGTGCGTCCCGGTGCTTCTTCCGTGACAGTACTGCACTCACACCACTCCCTGCACCTGTTGCAGTCTCTCTGGCTGACCCCTCAGGGGGCCCAGTTTTTGCACGGTCCACCACTGTGCTTCCGTGCCCGGCGGTTCCGTCTGGCTCACTAACAGGCTTCCACCTCCCCTCGTTCTCTACGAACTTGGTGAGAAACGCAGTTCTCCAGGACCAGTGGGTTGACACCTTTACCCCTGGAGGACAGCGTCTGGCGATCTGTATGTGCTCCCGGACCGGCCGCGACCTAGCCACGTTTACCTGTCGGCCAGGGTCGACTCTTTACACACTGACGACTGCGCCTCCTCAGGTAGCTGCTACTGGTTAGGTTTCTGCGTCAAGGCTGGTAGCCTCCCCTTGTGAGTGTCGCTCCCTGTCGCACCAGACTCTTCTCTGGCACCACCGCCTGGGCCACCACTCCCTGCCATGTCTACGTGTCATGCACCGTCGCCTCCTTGTGTCTGGTTTTCCCAGGTCTCTCCCTCCCCTCCCTGCCTCGCCTGCGCCGCCCTGCCTTCCTTGCGTTGAGGGGCAGCAGCGCGCTGCTCCTCACTCCTCCTCGTTTCCCCCGACAGAGGCTCCTCTGCAGACTCTCCACCTGGACGTGTGGGGCCCAGCCCGCGTTCATGGACAGGGCGGTGAGCGGTACTTTCTACTGGTTGTCAACGACTACTCGCGGTACACCACGGTCTTCCCCTTGCGCACCAAGGGTGAGGTCCCTGCTGTCCTGATCCCTTGGATTCGAGCAGTTCGTCTCCAGCTCCGCTGCAGGTTCTGCCAGGACCTTCCTGTCCTGCGTCTGCACTCTGACAAAGGTGGTGAGTTCACCTCCGACCTCTTGCGAGCCTTCTGTCAGGGGGAGGGCATCGAGCAGTCGTTCACGCTTTTGGGCTCACCACAGCAAAATGGGGTTTCTGAGCGCCGCATTGGCTTAGTCATGGAGGTCGCTCGTACCTTCTTGATTCATGCGGCGGCTCCCCATTTTCTGTGGCCGTTTGCGGTCCGGTACGCCGCGCTGCAGCTCAACCTCTGGCCCTGTGTCTCCTTACCGGAGACCTCGCCCACATTGCGTTGGACGGGGGAGGTTGGCGATGCGACGCGTTTCCGGGTCGGGGGTGCTCGTGCGTTTGTCCGCGATACGTCCGCGGACAAGCTCTCCTTCCCCACCGTTCCCTGTGTCTTCCTTGGCATTGTCCTTGACGCGCCTGGCTGGCAGTTTTACCACCCCACCCCGCACCGTGTTTTCCCCTCTCAGTACGTCACCTTTGACGAGTCGGTTCCTTTCTACCATCTCTTCCCCTACCGCATTGCCCCTCTCCCTCCCCCGCTGCTTTTCCTCGCTCCAGGTCCCCCTCCAGTAGACCCCCTCCCCCCTCACGGTCCTGCTCCTTCAGGTGTGTCTCAGGTAGACCCGCCCCTCTTGGCTGAGCCTGTAGAGGTCACTAGCGACTCAGGTGCTGCTGCGGGAGGTGCTGCTGGGGGTGCTGCTTCTGGGGGTGCTGAGCCTGCGCGTGAGGTGCTTGGGAGTGCGGAGCCTGGGGGAGCTGAGCCTGTGGCTGCGGAGTCTTGGGGTGCTGAGCCCGTCCATGAGGTGCCGGGGGGTGCGGAGCCTGGGGGTGCTGAGTCTGCTGGCGTTCCTCTGGGTCTCGTTTCACGATGCGGGCTTGTCTCACCACACCAGGCACAAGAGTGGGTTGCATCGCATACCCGCCTAAGGAGTCGTGCTGCTGGAGCTGCTTGTTGTAGAGGCGTTGGGTGTGCGGGTCTCTCTGGTCCTGGAGGTGCTCGTACTGAAGGTACTGGAACTGCCGGGACTGGTACTGCTCCTGGAGCTGGTGGTGCCGGCTCTGAGGGTGCTGCTGCTGGAGGTACTGGGGCTGGAGGCCCTGGAGCTGGTGCTATCGACCCTGGCGTTGGAGACCCTGGAGCTGGAGGTGCCGGTTCTGGGGGTGCTGTTGCTGGAGGTACTAGGGCTGGAGGCCCTAAAGCTGGTGCTGTCGACCCTGGCGTTGGAGACCCTGGAGCTGGAGGTGCCGGTTCTTGGGGGGCTGCTGCTGGAGGCCCTGGCGCTGGTCCTGTCGACCTTGGCGTTGGGGACCTTGAGGCTGGAGGTGCCGGTTCTGGAGGTGCTGCTACTGGTGGCGCTGGAGCTGAAGGTTCTGGAGCTGCAAGAGGCGCTGGGGCTGGAGGTACTGCTGCTGGAGTCCCTGGAGCTGGAGGTGCTGCTGCTGGAGGCGCTAGAGATGGAGCTGCTGCTGCTGGAGTCGCTGGAGCTGGAGGTTCTGGAGCTGCTGGAGGCGCTGGAGCTGGAGGTGCTACTGCTGGAGTCACTGGAGCTGGAGGTGCTGCCGCTGGAGGCGCTGGAGGTGGAGATTCTGGAGCTGCTTGAGGCGGTGGAGCTACTGGTACTGGTGGCAAAGCATCGTCGCGACTGTTTTTTGCTCCGCCGTCACCGTCGTCTCTGCCACCGCCTGACTCCGTGCTTCGCCAGGTTCTTAGCCTCCCGTCTTCCACTGGCCTCCAGTTACAGCTCGGCGCAACATTGCCTGCTCCTTCTCTTTACACTGAGCAGACAGACTCGCTTACAGAGTGTCGTGAGCCTGCGTCTTGTCCTGCCTCGCCTGTTCGGGCTGGTCGCACTGGTCGTCGTGATCCTCGTGAGCGTCCGCCTCCTGTCCCTAACACGCACGCTATGGCACTTCGTCCTTCCTTTGTTCCACAGCGTGTTCCCCTACCATCTCCTCCTGCGTCTTCTCTGCCTCACGTTCAGGACCCTGAGTCTGACCTTGTTCGTGCTGCTCATACTACTATCATGCGTCTGCTCGCCACTCTTGTCACTGACCCGTCGTTTGAGTCTGCTGCTGCGTCTGCCTTAGTTTCTAAGCTTGTTG